CCCCCCCCCCCAGCTACCCTCACGATATGTCAGATTAATTTTGGGAGACCCTACATATTGACTGGAGGAAGTTCACATTTACTAATATTAAGGGTTCATAGAGAAAAGATAACAAATGAATGATAAGCTTACCATAATAAATTGTAGACGATTATATTTATTATCGATGAAACACCAAAAGTAAGTGGCCAGTGGGCAGGTGAAGAACCCAAGGGCGATTAAAACTGCTGGTGATACAACGAGGTTTTCGATATCAACAGTCTGATAGCCGTATTGTTGGAACTGATAAATGAAGATACTCCCTGCCGTGAACACCACAAGCCCTGATATCTGAAAAATAGATAAATAAAGACACAGTGCCTCGAAGCTTTTGAAGTACACTGTTAAGAAAATTGTTGTCTGAAATTTCTGGTACACTTTTTGGATTTTTATCGAAAGTTTTTTTCGATAAAATAAATTTTTGTCACTTGTAATACCACAAGAGCTTCAAAATTATCGGGTATTTTCCGATAGATTCGTTTGTATGCAGAGAACCTTGAAGAAAATGCCCGATTAATTTTGAAGCTCGTGTGGTATTCGGGGGATTATTTTTCCAATCCAAATGTCGGGCAATATAATTGGACCATGAGACGAAACTCACAATTGGGAAACGAAAATTGTATAATTAACACAACGACATTTTAATTCAGATTCAGGGTAGTGCAGTTGAAAATACAATTGTTATAAACAGTGGTGCATGTTTTTTTGGAGTCGGCCTTATCGGTAATGATTCCAGAGGAAGTAGACGGCATGACGTTCATCGAATTCCCTTCAGTGGACTCATTTTTTCCCAATTTTTTCACAATTAATTCGTGGTGTTCAGCGTCGAGTTGAAGATAAGGCTTAATAGAATTACTATTTGCATGGCCAGTGAGTTTGATAATCTGTTGTTCACCATTCCCGATTTAGCCAAATTGGAGACAGCTGTTGCACGACTGGAGTGATTGCTGATTTTCTTGTTGTCGACGTCAAGCCCAGCTTTCTGTGCTGATTCCTTTACCCACTTTAAGATCGTGTTCTGGCCTACTGAGGAATCTTTGAACCAACCACTGCCTGTTCCAAAATGGATTCGGAGTCAAAAATAGTCGGTCGGTCTTGAATTTTGCATTTCTCTTTTCTCGCAATTTTTGGAAAAGTCTCATCGGGCACTTATCAGGGATTTCTCGATTATCAACTAGCCATTTGCTGTCAGCATATTTTTTATCACCACCTTGTGTGGTCTTGGTAAAAATCGGATTATAGTCAATTCTCCCCGTTGTTCCTTCATCGTTTTTCTGTTCTTTCTTGAAGTGATGTATTGACACCATGCATCCCTCACCACCTCTCCAAGCCAATTCCATCGAAATAACCATGAATAATTTTTTTTGCAGACCATCAGGAGTTTCCTCGTCCCAAACATCGATCATTGCATCTCAATCCCTTCCCCCCAGCGCTGTTGCACTCGCCTTACGTTTTTCCGGAATAGTTTGTAGAGCCTTGCGTTTGGCATCACGAGCTCCTCTAGCTGCTTTGAACCCGGGATCAGAAAATGGATTGATTTCGAGATTGAAGTCTTTCCAAGACTTTTGGGAGCCCCTTGCACCACAGTTTTCATCCGATTTCAACTTTTTTTTTTTTAATGTTCGCTATACTCCAACGAACAAACCCAAGTATCCGTTTTGCTTTATATTTATCAGATCATGAGAAAATGATTTTTTTAGTTTCTATTTTTTTTCCCTCTTTTTAGCAAATGCTAAAATTAGTTGTTTTTCGTTATTCCACGTTGTAATCATACATAATCGAAATATTCTAACAAAAACAAAATGGGCGGAAAACAACGAATTTTAGCATTTGGTAAAAAAAGGAAAAAAATGAAAACTAAAAAAAAAACATTTTCTCATGATCTAATAAATATAAAGCAAAAGGGATACTTGGATTTGTTCGTTGGAGTATAGCGAACATTAAAAAAAAAAAATTGAAATCGGATGAAAACTGTGGTCCAAGGAGCATTTTTAAGCTAAAAACGTGAAAAATGACGTTTTTGGTGGATATACGGGGCAAAACGGTTCAGGTTCATATATTAAGTCATCCAATGGCTCTTAAGGCCGAGCCGAGACTTTCAAATTTCACCGCGGTCTCCCCTTAATGAAACTTCAACAGTTTTAGATATTGATGAAACCCGAATTTGATTCCGCAATAAACTATTCCAATAAGAAAAATCCGAGCCACTGAATTTGAATGTAAATCGATCGATTGGGATTGATTGATTTGGCAAAAATTGCACGTTAGGGTAGAAGTTTATTTTCGTTATATCTGCGCGGAAAGTTCGATTTTCCTCCCCAAATGGCGGGAGGAAAGTGGCTTATATCATTCCTCGGATTTCTGTTGTTTTTGACGATCCTCGGAATGACACAACCGAGGGGCTGGGCACTTAGAAAATCACTGGACCACTCGACTGGAAATTAAGGAAGAAATCAATGGAAATCACTGGAAATCAAGTGTTTTTCATTTTCAGTAGTGATTTCTAATGATTTTTAATGATTTCTATTGATTTTTCAGTTTCAACTCTACAATTTTTGTGATGGTATCGGTGCGTTCAAAATCACCCAATCCTGAAATGTGATGCTACGAAGTTTTTGACATCCCTCCGTATTGTACTGTCATGTAGAACAGTGCCATTATCGACAGATTCCCTACTCTGGTCCCGAAATCATGATTTCTCCAGTGATGTCTTGAAAGCAAGAAATCTTTGGAATCTACTAGAAATCATGGAAATCACAAGAAATCAAAAGAAATCATGATTTCTAATGTTCATTGGAAATCATCTGATTCTGTAAATCATTGAGTGCTCGATTGAGGAGTGACCAGCCCCTCGTTCCTCCCTGCATTTACGAAGAAAAACCGAACTATACCGTGCAGTTATAACGAAAAATAGTAGATGCACCTAGGAAGCAAAACAAGACATTCAAAACCGCGTGTTTACTACCCTCAGCTTCGCCTCGGGGAGTAATCCACACGCGGGTTGGAATGTCCTGTTTTTCTCCCTTGGTGCACAATCTACTATTTTGTCATTCCGACCGTGAGGCTCCGCGTCCGTGAATTTCTGCGTACGGCCGTCATGACAAAAAATATTGTTCGTCATATGGCCCAAAAAAACTTTTCTGACGAATATGATTGCAGCCCTCGCCTTCGGCTTGTGCTGCAAACTCATATTCGCCAGAAAAGTTTTTTTTGTTATTCCGGCCGTAAGGCAGAGATTCACGGACGCGGAGTGAAGCGGAGCGTCCGTGAATCTCTGCCTACGGCCGTCATGGCAAAATAGTATATTTCGTCACTAGGTCGAAAAAAACTTGTCTGGCGAATATGAGTTTGCAGCCTGAGCCGAAGGCGAGGGCTGCAATCATATGAGCTAGAAAAGTTTTTTTTGGCCGTATGACGAACAGTATTTTTTGTCATGACGGCCGTACGCAGAGATTCACGAACGCGGAGCGTCTCACTGAAGAAAAAAGATCACATTTATTTAAAAAAGTAATTATGAAAAAGTGTGATTGAAAAATTTCATTTTCGTTACTGAATTCTCAATGACTTATCACTAATTTCTAGAAATCAATCACCAAATTTCAGTGAAGTTTCGATAAATTCTGTGACATGTCTCTGAAAAGCAAAAATAATTTTTCTCTGACATTATTTTGATCATTAGAATTCAATAAAGCCCTTAAGTTAGAGTATTTGATCGAAGAAGGAGTTTTTGGCGATCCTGCTGTTGCTTCATTGGAGAATATTTAATTTCCATTTTCTTCAAATGTCACATCACCAATCAACTCCCCATCAGTGAATAAATCCTCCTCACTACCTATAGTCCATACGCTAGGGATACTTCTGTGTACATTGAGATGTCCATTAGAGTTTATTACTGGATTCTATGTTTTCGAGGTCGCTGATTGCGAATATGATGATCGTTTGTNAAAATAACGCATGATGCGCATGCGCATGACCTATTAAAAGAGAATAACAAGGAAGGAAATCTAACCCCCGAATAGTGACTACATGGAATGACTGAAAAATGAAAAGGTGATTTTCGANCATAACAATTGAATTGTTTAAAACGGAATATCGCCGAAACGGTTGGCTATAGGGGAAACTGTTTTAAACAAGAAATATTCCTTATCAAAAAGTGGACATATTTTGTCTTATAATATTTTCTCATAGCTGTCATGGTTGCAGAGATATCGCGGATGCAAGTCTAGCGAGCGGCGCGCTGGCACTATTGCGCGGCGGGAACGCGTTCCGGAGTCTTTTTTTAAAAAAATGGTTGGACGGAGACAAAAATGGTTAAAACAAAAGATGTTCATTACAAAAAAATACATCAGATCATTTTTTTGACTTTTTCAATTATTCCAAGTAATTTTCGAGATATTCAACGTTTTATGGGCGATGACGGGACAAATNATATAATTCCTGATAGTGATGAAGAGTTATAGTAGTCCATACGCTAGGGGTACTTCTGTGTACATTGAGATGTCCATTAGAGTTTATTACTGGATTCTATGTTTTCGAGGTCGCTGATTGCGAATATGATGATCGTTTGTGCGAAATCGTGGGCAGTCTCTTTGTTCATAACAATTGAATTGTTTAAAACGGAATATCGCCGAAACGGTTGGCTATAGGGGAAACTGTTTTAAACAAGAAATATTCCTTATCAAAAAGTGGACATATTTTGTCTTATAATATTTTCTCATAGCTGTCATGGTTGCAGAGATATCGCGGATGCAAGTCTAGCGAGCGGCGCGCTGGCACTATTGCGCGGCGGGAACGCGTTCCGGAGTCTTTTTTTAAAAAAATGGTTGGACGGAGACAAAAATGGTTAAAACAAAAGATGTTCATTACAAAAAAATACATCAGATCATTTTTTTGACTTTTTCAATTATTCCAAGTAATTTTCGAGATATTCAACGTTTTATGGGCGATGACGGGACAAATTCGCATTGCGTTGATCATTAAACTGTGATTATCTCGTTAACTACTAGGGATAGACCAAAATGTCTAATAACTGAAAAGATGAGTCATGAAATTACCAATATCTTTTGTTTCAACTTTTTTTCTCTAGCTTCATTCGTTCAACAAATAACTCTCTCTGTGAAATTCGTTCAACTCGTTACTCTGCTATTTGTTCGCTAACAATGTACAATCTAGCCAGAAAATCACGCGAAAAAATAAGCTCTCGGAAAACACGATCTTCACCCTCAGGAGTCTCAATGCAAACTGACGGTGAGTTCTTCAATTCCGTAGGATGAAAACAAAACTCAAAAATGAAAACATAGCAACGCCACAAGACTGCGAAGCCGTTGTGCGACATATGATGGAGTTGAGGTGGACCGCCTGNATTTATTACTGGGTTCTATGTTTTCGAGGTCGCTGATTGCGAATATGATGATCGTTTGTGCGAAATCGTGGGCAGTCTCTTTGTTTATAACAATGTAATTGTTTAAAACGGAATATCGCAGACATGGCTGGCTATNTCATTCGTTCAACAAATAACTCTCTCTGTGAAATTCGTTCAACTCGTTACTCTGCTATTTGTTCGCTAACAATGTACAATCTAGCCAGAAAATCACGCGAAAAAATAAGCTCTCGGAAAATACGATCTTCACCCTCAGGAGTCTCAATGCAAACTGACGGTGAGTTCTTCAATTCCGTAGGATGAAAACAAAACTCAAAAATGAAAACAT